CACCTCCTTTATATCATGTGCTTCTAGAAGATAACCAGTTGCTTCAACAGTCTCAAAGCATAGCTTTATACCATATAGTCTCCTCCCCCACCAAAATATGGATACCAAATGCTTTTTGCTTCTCATTCTCTGTGGTTACCACAGCCTGAGTCCACCCTCATTCCTATAAAACAAAAAATGATTTTTGCTCCAAGAAATTGCTCCCCTTGCCTCTCTTGACTAATTGGGATTACCTCCATAGGTCTACAAAGTAGCCCAAACACCCCTTCACCTGTCTGTTGTGAAGGGACAGAACCGTGTCAAGAAGGTGTGTAAGACATGGCAATGTCATGTAGAAAGACAATGCCATTCTCCTAGGAACATGATCAAAGTGGAGGTAGATAAAAATGGATCATCTGCTGACCTGCAACCATGTACAGCTGTGCAAAAATATACTCCAAGGACAAAAGAGGAAATGTGCCTCCACCCACAAAAGTGGTCCTTCTAGGAGTATTCTTCAAATTATTAAAATAACATGTTTAGGCTAAATGACAAAAATGAGTGAAGAATATGCAAAAATTTGGAGGCAAATCAAAATTCAGTTCCATGTGATTAGAAATTGAACAGGAGATTTAAAGCTGTCACAGGGTGGCATGAACACCAACAGCAGCAAAAGTAGATTTTACTCAAAATCAAAACGCCAATTCATTCAATCAAATTTTAGTACTTGAAATCCAGACATAGTCTCCCTTTCAAAATACCAGTTCTAAAGTCTTAAACATTTAAAATCCAAGTCAGTCTTTGAACAAGTATCAAGATCTCATACAATCCCTTTCAAATGCCTTTCATAATTAGCTTGTTATTGTTACTGACTTGGGGTGCTGTTTCCCAAGTACTTTATGGCTGATAGGTTTTTTAGGCTAAATTCAAGTGGAAAATTTACAGGTTAAGAAAATTTTGGAATTTGAAGCATCCTAAATATTTTCAAAAAGAAAGAGAAAGAAAAGGAAAAGAGAAGAAGGGAAGATGGCAGGAAAGATTTGTAGTAGCAACTGAACACAAATATTTTGTCCAAACCTCAGGTTCCAAAACTGAATGAAAGATTTCTGGCTAGAACCTAATGATTCATCAGGCTCAGATTGTATAAATTTAAATGTGTCTTTATTCAGATATGTAAAATAATAAAAACTAGGAGGCAACTCAACATCTTAATAATGAAAAATTGAAAGTATCAGAACTAGATGGAGTGATGAAAGTCAACAATTCTCTACCACCAATAAAAAATTAAATCTTTGAAATATAACCATTATTCCATGTTTAAAGATTTCAGGGAGATGTACAGGGAGAATTCAGTTTAGGATATACCACAAGAGAATGTGGCTCCTACTCTAAAAATAAAAACAGTTGTAATATTTTTTGAAGTCATTTTCAAAAAATGGGCTGAGTTGCCAAATCAACCAGGTAAGCTGAATTCCAAAGTGCGACAAGCCCTTCTGAAGAAACAGATACGTACAAAGTGCTTAACTTTTGGTAAGGCATGGGAGAGAGAGAGAGTGAGTAACCATGTAAGCAGGTAAGAAGAAAACAATTGGAATTGTAATGGATTCTTAAAGATTTCAGGTAAAGAGATTGTAAGACTTATTTTGGTAATTAAAGAATAATCCTTAGAATCCTTTAAAAAAAAAAAAGTTTATGTAGTTTTGAGAGAAAACATAAACAGGGGAAGAGCAGAGAGAGAGAGGGGGACAGAGAGTCCCAAGCAGGCTCTGGGCTGACAGCAGGGAGCCCCGTGCAAGCTCGAACCCACTAACTTCGACACCATGACCCAAGCCAAAGTCGGAGGCTCAACCAACCGAGCCACCCCGGTGACCCCTTAGAATCCTTCTTACTAAAGTAATTAAAAACAACAACAACAACAATAGCTAACATTGAGTATGAGTTTACTGGATTCCAAGCATTATGCTAGCACTTAACATACTTTATCAAATTAGACCTCACAACCTCATAAGAAAGGACTATAAATATCCTTATTTATAGAACAGAAAAGGGTACATAGAGTAAGTAGTTTGTCCACATTCCCAGTCAGTGAGTGGCAAAGCTGGGATTCAAACCTACACATTCTAACTACAACATGGATACTATAGAGTCTCTTTGAATCCAGACATACTTAATGCAATTTAAATTGTTTAAATGCTTTCTTTTGCTCCATTTCATAGTAAACAAGAAACATTCTATTAATTGTTCCTTTACATATATCAAGATAGAATGCTAGAAAAGTCATGTTTAATATAGAATTAACTAAGAATTTTTACCTTCAGGTAAGACTGCTATTACTTAAGACTGTTAATCTACATGAGGAAGGTAGAAAAGAAAACAGAGCAAATCAGAATAGGGAAAGAACCCTTTTGTTCTTGCCCCAATCTGTCCATCACAGAAAACATCAAACTACAGAGATCGAAAGATCTACTTTAAAATTAATGGAGGGAAAAGGATCCTTTTGAAATTTGATGGCAGGTAGAAACTTCTTGCTATGTAATTGTTGTTAGCCTTTTGTTCCCTTAAGCTAAATAACATAAAAAAATTAAGGAAATCTTTAAGATTTCATGCTATGATGGAACTAAGAAAAAAAGCACATCACTCTTCTATTTAAATACAATCTCTTGTCATATTTCATTTTCAAAAAGAACACTAATATGTTACTGAACATATATACATATACATTTATTTATTTATTTATTTATTTATTTATTTATTTATCTTATTGTCAAGTGTAGGTTCCAGTCCTTTTTGGCCTCTCCTGTGCCTTCATAATATTGACTATCTTGTCCCTTTTACAATAAACACTTTCCCAATTTACAAAGTGACTTTGTATTTTTTTTTTTGAGAGAGTGGGGAATGCACAGAGAGGGGACAGACGGGTGAGAGACAGAGAGAGAGAGAGAGACAGAGACAGAGACAGAGAGAGAGAGAGAGAGAGAGAATATCTTAAGCAGGCTCCATGCCCAGGGCTGACTGAGCCTGATGCAGGCTGGATCTCAACAACCATGAGGTCATGACCTAAGCCAAAATCAAACCTGAGCCACCCAGGAGCCCCAAAGTCACTTTGTATTCTATCTCAAACTTCCAAACAGTACTAAACATTACTTACTCTAATGTCATTTCCAGAGATAAAACAATTATAATTCATCTATCCTAGATAATGATCTAGTAATTCTAGTTTTAGGAATATAGTCACACCTCTCCACTAAAATGGGACATGGGGCATGCTGAGCAAGATTAAGTAAATAAAATTAATCAGGGAAAAAAATAATCCATATCAGTAGCAATTACATGCAATTCCTGAAGAGACCAGACAGCAATTATATATGTAGCTGATAATCTCATCTCTTCAACGGACACAATTCCTTATATCAGACACCTGTACCAATTTAAACTTTTATTTACTTAGATAGAAAACAGCCATGATTAGAAGACATGCGGAAAAAAATGATTCCTATTTCAGCAAGCGAATGTTTTTCTGTTGCCAGGGCAAACTGTTAGTAAGATATCTATTACAGAATTTGAAGACAGATTTTCAAAGTTGAAAGGCTCTTTTTGAAGTCCTATAGAGGACTTCCTGTCCACCAATTCAGATATAAAAAGTATTCTGACAACCAGAAATGTTCCCTAGTTCCTAGGTAAATCCTTGCTAAATCCTACCACTAGAAATTTCTCATCTTTAAATTTAAAATCATCCCATTAGATCTTCCTATCTATACGATCTACTTTATGTCTCAAAACTTTGTTTATTCTCATCACGACATATTATTTTCTTGTTTTCTTTCTCCTCCAGAAACATTCCCTCTGTCTTTCTTGAAGGAGACTATAACTTTTTTTGACAAAATTATTTTTTTCTAATGAGTTGCCAACTTAAGGGAAAGGATGTAGATTCCAACCCAGGGCAACTGCTTTCCCCTTAGCCAAAGTAACATAAAGGTAGCTTTATATAAAAAATCAGAATATTGCATTTAAAAATATTTTCTGTAACATCAGTTTAATGAGTTGTGACAATTCAACCTAGTATCTTCACATAGTTTAAGGCAAAATTAATTTGTGAGCATATCCCTTCTTTAGGCCAATTTCGCTTACTTTCAAGAAAAAACTAAAGGTTCGTGAATACCTTAATTAAGAAGTAGTCACTTTTCAAGCTAAGCACCAAGCCTGAAACAAACACATACCTGGACAAGATAGGTTTTAGGTTTAAATCCAACAAAAAGCGAATCATTTTTTTAATGGTATGTCATACTATTTTTTAAGGTAAGTCATCCAGCATACCGAAGTAATACTCCAATATTAATTTTTGTGATGACGCGGGCCTGCTTACTTCCGAACTTTATAAATCCTCTCCATTTTTATTAGGGTAGGAATTCGTTCCCCTTCTCTCTTCCAATGTTTTCCAAGGGTCACAGTTATGGTATAGTGTGCACAACAGATTTCGCATGGTCATCCTATCTGGAACATGGCACACTCCCTCCTCTAGCTGCCCCCAAACTCTTCTCCGCCGACACAGGCTAAAAGCAGCTTGTTTTTAGACAGCGACGCAACCAGACGCAGCCGGTCTTAAGAGCCGAATGGCCCCGCTCCTGGCCCCGAGAGTTGCGCTATAAAGCCCTCTGCAAACATACAGTCACCGTATTCGTTCCCTTGCTAACATTTATGAAATTCGTCAAGGCTGAAAGGCTATGCGCAGCCTTCCCACTGCACACGGGAACCACTGGTCTGCTCACCTGAAATTAAAACACCGCCTCGCCTCTCGTTCGAACAGCGCTTTTGTTTACAAGACGCTTTCACAAGCGTTATCTGACTTGACCCTCACGCCAAGCCTTCGAGATGACCCCCGATATCATTAGTGCCTGTTTTACTGTTGAGGAAAGGATCCTGTGCGCAGACCGGTGCTAAGGGTCACCCTCTCCCCGATGAAGGAAGCAGCTTCCCGGCGGAGGGGACAGCACATGTGACGCCCGCGGCCCCCATCCTCTCACCTGGCCAGCGGGCCGGGCTACCACCTCCTCTCCGTGACCGGGGACTTAGTTAGGCCCGTGGCGGCGGGTGCTCGGGGTCTCCGTGGTCCTCTCGATCTCCGCTTGCTCTCGGCCTCAGACCCTCGACCCCACAGTGCCTCACGCTCTCCCCATCGGGCTCACGGTCCGATCTCGCCAGACAGTGTCTGGAAGGACCGGGAAACTCCGCGTCGGCCGCAATCGTCCAGGATCTGGGACCCACTCTCCGAGGCGACGGCGGTGACGATCACTAGAAGGCCCGCAGGCTCCGCCGTAAGGAAAACCCGTCCCCAGTCAAGAGGCTGACATTTCCCAGGCAGCCTGAGCACCGCCCACTTCCGTTTCCCCGCCTACCCCATGGGTCGCCCAGCCCCCAGCCGCAGGGGGTTGTGGGTATCTCAAAGGCGGGTAAAGTAGCCAGGAAGGAAGTAGCGGAGAGCCTGCTGGACTACAAGTCAGGGCTGAAACTACAGTTCCCAGCAGGCAGCGGGGCTGCAGACGGCCGCGGCGGAGGAGAGCGAGTAGAAGAGCCTTGCGCGCGCGGTGAGGATGGAACGTTGCTAGAGTTCGCGGGTCTTGCTGCTGGGGGTCGGAGCTGCACGCCGCGAGCCGCCGCGTGCCAAAGCGGGAATCCCGGTGGCTGGCAGTTCTGCAATTAATGCACCCATTTAAAACTCCAGAACTTGTGGACGCCATGCACAGGTAAACGGATTGCAAAAGGGGGCAGAGCTTGCATGAACCGTCTTAATTGTTTTAGGCCGCGAAAAATGCTACTTGCTAATATTGTTACTAATGCTGTAGAGTGAATAGTTGCTTAGCCCCTTTGGGAAAGCGTGGATGGCTGGATGCTTTAGTGCGGTGATCAGTGTGCGGTTTTATTTGACTTCCCTTACTGAGCTTTCCTGCTATTTTCAGTCGCTGTATGATTGCTCCCCCTCTTGTCTATTCCCTCCACTTTAAGACATTCTCAAGGCCTTCTGCGTGATCGTAAATCAAAAAGCCTTTTTGATTTGCTTGGTTATTTTCTCTTTCCTACTTGGAAACTCGCCGCCGGCGCTTAAGATATGCAATTTTGTGAGCCACTGTGAAAGTTTTCTGCATTGCATAACTTGCAGTTTCATTTAGGCCTATCTTTTAATTACTCGGGTGTGTTTTTGAAAGGAACGGGCCGGGGGTGGGGGGCTTTTGTGCATTTCTGCAGGAAACACCTCCAGGAGATTCCTGACCAGGGTAGCAACGTTACTACCAGCTTCACATGGGGATGGGATTCTAGCAAGACTTCTGAACTGCTGTCAGGCATGGGGGTCTCCGCCCTGGAGAAAGAGGAGGTGGACAGTGAGAATATCCCCCAGGAACTGCTCTCAAACCTGGGCCACGCTCAGAGCCCCCCACGAAAACGGCTGAAGAGCAAGGGGAATGACAAGGATTTTGTGATAGTCCGCAGACCTAAGCTAAATAGAGACAGCTTTCCAGGTAAGGTAAACTGGCGGTCACATAAGAGGTGGATTGAACTACTTTATTGGTAATCTTTGTTTAGTGATCTTCAGGATGGCACATTTTCAAAATTGCCTACTTCTGAAGTCATTTTCCAAAGAAGTGGGACAAGTCATTTTCACAAATCTGCAGGAATCTTGGTAGATACATATTTTTAGATGCACAGTTGACTTTTAACCCATGTGAAATTTTAACCCAGGAGAAGACATACCTACATACCTCTTAACTTTGAAGTGAATCTGCATGTTCAAAGGCCAGCTCGGTGCTACTGATAAATGGGAACATAAGCAATAATCTTGTAGGATTTTGTTATTGTTGTTTATATTCTGCTCTGTAGCCTTGGTTGAGGGTTTTGGGGTTTTTTGTTATTGTTGTTTTGTTTTTTGGCCATATTTGCTTTAGTGATTTCCAAAGAACGGCTAAAGTGAATGTTAACTATGTGTAGGGACTTCTCTCCCCAGGTCCCTCCCAAGTGGGATTCTTCTGGTATGCTGTGTCTACATTACTGCCAGCATTATGTGTTCAGTCACCCAGCCAAAAACCTGAGAGTCAGTCCCATTCTGCCATCCTCCAGCATCCAGCCAATCATTGAATCTTTTTTCAAGCTCTCATTATCTCTTGCCTGAATATTGGAATGGCTCATAATTCCAGGCTTATCCTCTGCAGATCCATCCCCAGAGCTAGAGCAGACTGACTGAAATGTAGAACTCCCCGTATCATTTCTGGCTTTGATAGCTCCCCGTCTCCAGGCTTTTCAAACAGATCAGCGTGTGCCTCCCAGAGTGGATCAGAGCCCCAAGAGTACAGAAGGCCATAGGGTAAAGGTAGTGCAATAATACTGTTTCTTGCTAGAAGGTATTTAAAACATTAAGCCAGCACATTTTTGCTGAGCACATACTATGTGCTAGGCGTTGTTCTAGGTGTTAGGGATTGTTAGGGATTCGGCAACAAACAATGTAAACATTCCTGACCTCAAGAAGCTTCTGTTGGAGAGAGAGGATGCAACAGACATAATAAATGTGGTATGTAGAATGTTAGAAAGTAATAAATGCCATGGCCAAAAACAAACATAGAACAAGTTGAGAGGGATTGGAAGTCCTGGGGTGGGAATATGGATTGCAGTTTTAAACAGGGTATTGAAGGGAAGCTTCACTGAGACATGAGCTTTTTAAGTAAAGGCATTAAGTGTGAGGAATGTGCCACGCAAATATCTTGGAGAAACGGGTTCCAAGCAGAGGGCATAGTCAGTGCAAAGACCTTGGGGCAGAAGCATGTCATGTTTGCTCAAGGAAGAAGGAAGACATGTGTGGAATGAGCTAAGGGTTGAGTAGTGGGAGATAAGGCTAGAGCTGGTATTGAGCAGAGTTGTGATGTGACCTTTTAAAAGGACACATTGATGGGATTAAACTGTAGGGGGTCAAGGGTAGAAATTTAGAGATATGTTAAGAGGTATGGGGGTAGTAATAAGTGTCACGTTCTGGATAGATTCTGACGTTAGAGTTGACAGAATTAGGCCATTGAGGTAGTCTGTAGAGGTAGGTGATCAGAGGCTAAACAGGAATTGGGTGGGTGATAGCAGAGAAGAAGAGACAGATTAAAGAAATATTGAAGACGAAGTCTTACAGAGCTGGGGTAAATAAGTATATTCCTTAGTCCTCCCATTTGACTATCTTTGAAAAAGGGTTGGTTGTTTGCTTTGCTTTAAAAAATCTGTTGTTTTGGGGTTTTGGCCCTTTCGTTAGGAATGAGAACCTACAGGTTATCGTCTGGAAATCTACATCAGGGGAAGGGGTGAATTAATTAGAAAGGCAATAAAGGATTGTGATCAAGTCAGACAGATCTGGCTTTGCATCCTAATTCTGCTATTTACCAACCTTGGGAAGTTATTTGAGCTCTCTTTGCCTTCATTTCTTTGTGAAATAGAATAATAATACCCACTTCATAGGTTGCTGTGAGGATTAAGGGAAAGAGTGCCCACAAAGCTCTTAGCATGTTGTGTGCACATAATACACAATAAGTAAATCCAGTTAATTTGGTCAACAAAATTTCTGACACTCATTTGGGAAGCTACTTCACTTTTTCTTTTGTCCTTAGTCCTGTTAGCCTGACCTTGTTAGTACAGAATTTTTTCTTTCAGAATTTAATGCTTCTGTTATTTTTAGCGTCTGGAGTGTAGCACTAGCAATTTGGTGTTTGACCAACCAGATGTGGTGACAGACACCACATTTCTGCTAAGATGAGCATATTTTGATTAACTTGTCCAGGGCCAGTTGCTTTTAAACATTCGGTGTGATTCCTGTATGTCCTTCCGCATTCATACACAGAGATAGAGATGTATAAATAAAAAAGTCACTGTTAAGCAAGGCACTGTAGAAACAAGAGAGATTAAGGGATGGTTGCTGGCTTGTAGGACATTGCAAGTCAAGTTGAGAAGAAAGACAACACACCCTCAGAGAAGCTCACGGCAGAAGATGGCGACCAAAACACTGGCATCCAATGAGTAGTCTAGGTAGTAAGTGCAATTGGAGGCCAGAGGAAGGGAACCCCTTGGGCCAAATTGAACCAGGTACAGCTTCCCAGGTGCAGAAGGGCTTCCAGGGTGATTCCCAGCGGATGTGGACAATCTTCCTCCTTCCACTCAGAGAAAGTGGAGGCTCTGAGGAGAGGGAAAGATCTGGAAATGGTCCAGTCAATAAGTCTACATTGTTAAAACTGACCTCAAATATATATGCCTGAAGCAAGAAGAGAAAAAACAATGTTTGATTTTTATGTTTGTTACTACCTAAGAGAGAGGCAGGAAGGAAAACTAATAATCTACATCCTACGTGTGTGGAATTGCACACAATATAGACTGGCTAATTGGTATGGAGTGTGGAGAGGTGGATTCCCTGATGCAGGATGAGAGACAGCTGGGTAGAGGATTCCCAGTGGGCCTCCAGTGTCTGTCTTTCTGTCTCTGTCTCTGTCTCTGTCTCTGTCTCTGTCTCTCTCTCTCTCTCTCTCTCTCTCTCCCTCTCTCTGTCTCTCTCTCTCTCTGGATCATCATTCCAGGGAGTTTTGTGTGCAGTTGTCAAGACAGGTGGCTAAAGGCTCTGCCAGGATTAGGGCAGAATAAGCCACACCTGCTTTATGTAGCGATCTGGTGACAGTGGCCTTGGGCTGGGAGTTTTTCCTGGTTCCTCCCTCAGCAGTCTCCCTGCAGGCCCCAGCCAGACTCATACACATCTGGCAACTAAATCCTCCTCGTCTTTTTATTTTGGAAGATAAAAACTGTGTGGCAAACGCTGTATCAGGACAGGTCTGTTTTGCCCTCGGGGTGAGTGTATGGAAGGAATTGGAAGTAAGTGGCCCAGTAGTGGGGTCAGTAACAAGCCCAAACAGGACAACTTCATTTTATTCATGTCATTAAATGCCTGTCTTGGTCCCTTTTCTCCCTACCCTCCGCCCCAGTGAAAACAGTGAAACACAGTGAAAACACCGTTGAACTAATTTGTTGATTAGCTTTCCCAGGGCTGTTAAACTGCTTGACATTCCAGAGCCTGCAGTGGTTCTCAGACTGGAGACTCTAAAGTTTAGTGTCTGCTGATATCCCCAAAGGAACTTGTTCAAAGTGCAAAATTCCTGAGATTCGGATCCAAGAAGTCCTGCCTTGAGCCCGGGAATCTGCTTTTTAATGCTCACAGGCAAACATTTTTCCTGCAATTTTTTTTTTTTAAACCAGTAATAAATATATTTTACATTGCGATGCTGGGTGTGTGCCTGAAACAGAAATCTCACAAAGCTGTAATTCCCCTTGCTAAGATACTTCCTATTGTGTTCCATTCCATTCTTTCAAAACAAGGCTGCTTCAACTG